CCCCCCCCCACGTCGGCAATTACCGCACAACAGGGTGCCGTGCGCCACGCCCACCGCACATGGATGAACACACGACGTTGTTTGCAATTGTAGCGTTTCACACGGTGCTACATGTAAGGCTACCTCGAATCGCTTCATTTCAATCGTTGAGAGCTGTCCAACAATTCCGAGCCCGGGCGCGCACCAGAAAGCAGAGCAAAAGAGGGTACGTTTGTTGTTGCCTTCGAACGCCACGCCTCGTTTTTTTTGGTTAGTAACCCCATTCATCACGCGTGGCTCATCGCTCGTTCGCAACAAGACACTGCTACGCTGACAACATCACAAAACGATGATTTGTTTTTCCTCGATGAAGCCTTTGTCGACTATTATAGCTTGCTACAACATGGTACGCTGACAACATCACTAAACGATGAGTGTTTTGAACTCAATGAAGGTTTCGTCGATGAGCGTGCAACAATGTGGTATACTGACTTCATCACAAAAAGATGAATGTTCTTATTATCTCAACGAAGGCTTTGTCGACCAGCTTGCTACATATGGTATATTGCCACCACCACAAAATGACAAGTGCATATGCTGTACCTCGATGAAGCCTTCGTCGATGAGCTTGGTGGACCGCTCGGTGAGGCTGGAGATCGCCGCCTTCTGCAGGGCACCGTCGAACACCGACAAAACCTTGTCGCTTTTACGAGAAAAAAAAAAGGGAACGAAAAAAAAGCAAAAGAGACAAATGATGAAAAATGATGGTATATGCGACGAAGGAAAAATTGCGAAACATTGATGGCAAAGTATTCTTCGCATTCGGAGCCGCAATAACATTTGAACTTGTTGCTTTGTGTAGTGGTAAAACAGAGATCGGACTAGAACATAACACAACGACAACTCGCAAGACGTTTGGGGGTCTAATAAAGCGTGAAGAGAATGTCTGAGCGTGGTGCAAACACTTCGCGAGCAGTGAGAGCCACTGCACCGGTCGGTTGCACAGTGTGTGACACCTTGCTAACTTCGCGCACCGTACTCTCCAACAACCGAGGCAACCACTATCATACTACCGCACCTTGCGCAAGACTTTCAACACTGCTGTGGTTGCTTCAGCAACTTTGTACAACGTTGCGTGATATTCGACAACAACGTTTTAGCTTCGCGAGCTGTAACTTCTTGTGCGGCGTGATACCTCAATCCCAACGGCAAACTGCTTAGGATTTGCGGCATGTGTTGTGATTGGTAAGAAACATGTGGGCCGAAAAACAAAGCTGTGTGCCACAAACACTACGATTTACCACGCTCTGCCTCGTCGTGGTCTACCCTGTCACCTGGCTTCGATGAGTTTGATCCTGACGTACTTGAGCAGGTGAGGGTAAAATCGCGGCCCCTCCTGTAGAGCAGCATAACCATCATCATAATCATCATCACCGTCGTCGTCGAGCCATCAGGGGAAGAAAACAACTGCGGAGAGGAGATATAACACGCCACTCGCCAGTACACAAGCTCTCTCTCTCCCTCTCTCCCTCCCTGTGTTCTACGGCTTGTGGCTGGTGCGGCAGACCAAACTTTAGTACTTGCACCTACTCTCGACATATCTCATTTAGAAAGGAGGGATGCGTAAGGATGACTGGGAAGTAGCACACCCGTTTTTGGGTAGTTAGCGTGTGGCCAAGGAGGGCGGACGCGTCAACCAGTACGGAGCAGAGATCCAACCGTTTTTTAGCGCGAAAACGACACCACCACCAACAACAACAACAGCAACAACGACAGCAGCAGGAGTACAAGGCACCAACACCGCCGTCCCACCTCTTCGATGAAATCTCTGAGCTCTGCGCAGCACTCCACTCCGGTGGGCCCGGCCCCCACAATGGCGAAGGTGAGGGCCGCGATCCTCTGCTCCTCCGTCACCGTCGGCAGGTTGGCTCGCTCGAAGCAGTTGCCGATCGCCTTTGCATACGAAACACACGAAACACGTACATTGGTGAATAGCGTCTTGTTAGGGTGGCGAGAGACGTTACAGGGAGAGAGGGAACGTGCATATTACCTTCCTCTTCAGGCTGGACATATCTCAGCAACGAAAGGGCCACGAATCGCTTTCGACAGAGAACGCCCGCAAGAGACAACCTGTTTTTCTCTGCTTCCTCTCCGCACCTCCGTTACTTTACATCTCCGTACCCTGTGCAAACAAAAAGGACGAACAACCAAAGGGCTACTAGTAAATTACGGTTCAATCAGGGTCAGGGTGTCGGATTCGGGTCACGCCTCCTAGCCATCGAAAAGCTGATGGCCACAACCATTCGCTAGATCTCTCTCTCTCCGCCCCCCCACCTTTCTGAGCTTCTGAGCGTCTTGGACTTGCTTTAGGAAGATGCAGTGTTCCATGACGCCCGGGGTGTTGAAGGTGTTGGTAGTGGCTCCGACAGACACCACCAGGTAGTCGTACGGCAACTCGAAGTCCTTCAAGAGCGAAAACGTTGAGCCGGGAACAAAAAAGAACGATAAACCATGAGATTGACGAAACCCTCGAGGAAGGATTGAAGGAGGACACGAGACGGCGTTAAAACGTAAAAATCGCTCAACTCGGCAACCATCAAACAGCAGGAAAAGAGCGGTAGCAAGTCGAGAGGGTTGTTTGCTGTGGTGTTCATCCACCTTAGCACAAAGCGTGTTGCATGCTGGGCCAAAAAATGGAAGAAAAGGAAACGAGTATCATCAAACTCTTGGAAAAACTGCGAAACAGGCACAAAAAACGGTACCCCTGCAGTCATCGTTTCCTCACGTAAACCATAGCAATCACCAGCACGTAAGCAAGGTGTACGTTGGTGCCCATGCTCCCACCACACTGCTCATGCCAAACATGCCGACAGCTCCGTTGCAGGGCGGAGGAATGGTGATCACGCTTGTACTATACTGCTTATTCCATCACAGCTCTGTCGGGGTGCTGAATTCCTCGTTTTGACAGCTAGCAGAAAGCTCACCTCTATGGTGCAAGTGGTGCCCTCACAGACCACGTTCTGGCAGGTGATGGTTTTCTGGGCCACGTCAATGCCCGTGCACGTGGCCTCCAGGTAGTTTGCCTCGGGGTTAACCTTACGGATGGGCTCCGTGATCGAGCGGTATTCCACCGTCCTGCCTCGTTAAAACGATTCACGTGCAGCAGCAGCAGCAGCAGCAGCAATGCCGTTTGGCTGGTGTTTGTTCTGAAACATTGCACCCCCCAAAATGAAAAAAAACACCCAACACAAAGTTAAATGTTCTTGCTGACTGGAGTAATATTATTCCCATAGGGACAGCAGTCTACATAGCCGGGTCTTGCGAGCCAGGCACCGAGCGAAAATACGAAAAACATGCAACACCGAAACAGAGTACCCACGCACGGTCTCGTGTGCTCGTCCTCGCTAGGGTTTGCCTCCTTTCGTTGGCAAGCCCGATAGCATGGTCAATGCCAACTAAATAAACGTATATACACACCGTTCGTCCAGTAACACGGTTCTCAACGTTCAAATCTGGCGCAGAACGGGACCCATGCGCACAAAGAATGCACTGCCCAAGAAATGATGTTGTCCATGTGCACACAGCGTAGCACAGGTCTGCGTTGAGGACAATGATGGTGTTCGGTCGGAAGTGTACTTCATTCACACTCCAACACTCTTTGTGCCAAAACAGTCCAGATCGATCGACGTGAAGGCCGCGTACCCGACCGCAGATGCCGCCAGCATCGGGGTGAAGAGGAAGAAATTTCGAGGCGACACCGTCGTGACCTCAAACTTGCTGGCGTCGATCTCCTTGAGGAGGGCGTGGGCCGCCCAGCCCGTTCCCAGAACAACCACCTTTGCAACACGGGGGCGGCGTTGAAGAGATCGTGGACACGGCCGCCAAAAAAAACAAACTCGGAAACAATGCAATAAATAATAATACCCGTACGCAGACCATGTTGAACAGGGGTCTCACGTGTCATGCCAACAGGAGCAGCAGCAGCAGCAGTCCGTGCGGTGCTGCAGTGTCATCCTGCTGCTGCTTGTGCTGCCGTTGTCTATCCATCGACAGCTGCTGCAGCTGATGGCCGACACATGCCGGCAGCAGAGCAAGCGCAAAGCAACAACATATCGAAACGTACACAAGCTCCAACACTCGTAGTAACCTCAACCCCAACATTGATTCATCAAATCACACGTACCCTCGGCTTGGGTACGCCAGTCGGGGGCGAGCTGTCCGGCCTGTCACTCTTGGAAGTTTTCAAGATGGAGTCGACGGTTTCGGAGGCCTTCTCGGCGAGGACGGCAAAGTAGGGCCTCTCTTTCTTGATCTCGGCGAGAAACTGTGCGTCCTCCAGTCCCCCGAAGTTCTCCAGCACCTTCGAGTCCACCTGCTCTCGTCAACGTCACACCAATAATCCCACGACCCCAACGAGCACTTATTTCACGAGAAAGGAATACAGGCCAAGGGGCAGTGTTAAGTGAACACGGACCATCCTTGTGTGCATCCTCATGGCCAAAAGCGGCATGCTGCAAATGCGGGTTCGGTAGGATATGGTAGAAAATCTGCGCAGCCGTTCAACCCTCCTAGTACTGGAAGCCCAAATGGGGACACTTTGGGGACACGGCACTGATGTTCCTATTTACCGCACTGCTGTAGTCACCCAAGGCTCTGCTGTGTGCAACGAACGTGAGAACCCTTCGCCCATCATGCTTGGCTAGGTGGTAAGCTGTGTATGCCTCTCCTGGGTCTCTGACTTGCTGTACACATTTCCCAATCCGCGTGCCCCCTAGGTCGTAAAACTGTACATCGCCTGGTACTGGAAAATTGGCTGACTTGGCTTCAGTATCAAGAGGGTCTCCACATTTGGGGACACTTTTCATACTGAAACCAAGCCACCCTTTGTCTGGCAAGAAGCTCAGATTCTTTGGAGGAACTGTAGCCCCTCGACCAATGGCTGACAAACATTTTTTCGGTTTTTGTTTTTTTGCGGAGGGACTGGGTACTGGGAGGGTTGGGCGGGGACACCTAGAATCTTGATTTTGGGTGAAAATTGAGAACTGCAAGTAGAGCATCCAGCAATCGTGCACGAGATACCTTCCACCAGTCGGAGAGCTTTGGATAGAACAACGAATCCAATATCCGTTCAAACCAACTATCTACCACCAGACCGAAATTGAAGACCAAACGTCGATACAGCGGGATCTATTGAGGACATCATGGAGCAGCGTTGCGCGTGCCAAGACTATCAGATCTGCTGAGGTATGATCGAAACCGGTGGGTGCGTTCCAAAAACTCCGCAATTCTGGGATTGTATGATGACAAAAATACATCAACAGGATATTCGAAGTTCAGACTGCAGTTCAGCCCGTAACTGCGGTGTATCATAGCGTTCAGTTCACTGGCTACATTTTCAGAATTACTGCTGTGGTGGATGGCACGCAGGCGTGTCTACATGTGGCAGTAGCCTAGCAGGAGAAAGGATGAACGCCCCCCGGATACCTCTCCCGCCGACTCAGTGCACTCACCTCATCAAACTAAATATGTTTCGCATCTACAGCAGTAGCTATCGATGTTCAGCCGAATACTGCTGTACGGAGACCCTCAATCGTGGACTGCCGTGCGGTATACGACACAAGACAACACACCCCCTGGACCAATTATCAAAGCTCGATTATGCGACAACGAAGAGGATGCATAAATGAAACAATTACATTCCGGAAAGCTCTAGACGAGACAGCTTCAACTCTACCGTTATCCGCGCTGTAACTGTTCCTGCTGTCGAGAAATCGACATTTGAAAATCGGTCCAAGGGGTGTGTTACCTTGTGTCATCTACGGTATGCGCGATGTCTCTTGGAAACGTCGTCGCCTATCGGCGAACGCACGCCCTGCAAGTTTGGAGCAACCTTTGCATCGCCCGCCTTACACAGCCGTACGCGATGCATGCTACTACTGTTCCCTCTGGCGCGATCACAGCAGTCTGTTGCAAGTCGCAAGGTACATTGGTTCTCCACCATTCTATTCGATTGACCGCGTGCAGTAGTCGATCCAGTCGGAACAACCCTTGACATGCTCTTTGGAGAGGAAACGTGGAAACTTATACCATGCGTTCAGCACGAACGGTGTCACCGCGGATACCAAACAAGCAGCAACACCACAACCATACCGCTGGGCGGTGCAGCGACAAGCAATACTTTCAGCAGGGTTGTTGGCGGGTTGGGGGCGGGGCGTTAGGGGTGGTGAGAGCCGCCTCTATTGTTCAGCCGGTAGGCACGAGGTGACATGTACCGGCTACATCGACAACCACCACGACAGCGTCGTGTTGTGATACACATGTAAACAGCACGACTGCGCACAAGCCTTTACGCCAGCCACCCAAGCACTTCGATCATAACGAGCGTACCTCGCTCAAGTCTTCGTTGTTTCGAGCAAGCTTTTCCCTCAGCTCCTCCTCGGTCTTCGGCGACGTGACGCGTAGCGGAGAAGGCGAGTTGTTCCGGAGGCGACGCGATGCTCCAGCGGACACATGACGATGAGCGCCGGTAGAGGAAAATCCATTGGCTCCATGCCACAAGATAAGGAAGGCCAGCAGCCCATTGACAGTCTGCATGGTTGAGTGGGCGGCGGGGTTACACACAGGGAGGAGGGTAGGGAGTAATGACGATGATGTCCCTCAGTTCTGCGGTGTAGCTGCGCCACTGCGCCTCCTCGTACCACTTTTTTTTTCAGCAACAAAGTGGCAGAACTTTGATTCCGAAACCAGAACCTTTGGTTCTGTCGAAGCAGATCAGCCGCAGCGGGGGCAGGGACTCAGGGACGCAAGCACATATCCCGCGGCTCTCTGCAAAGCCTCCTCGATATGACCACTTCCAGGCCTAACTGTCTTTGCTGTTGGGCGGCGGTTCGGACGAACACGGCGTCGGAATCTAGATGCTGGGTGTCTCATGTTTGTGCTAGATTTGAGGAACGATCTCTTCATAACACCACATGGTTCTCACACCATCAGGCTTTATAGAATGCATGTGCTGCTGAGACTAGCATGAGTGGTGAACAGTCGTTGGAATGGAACAATACTTAGCGTGACTGCTGTGAATGTGCGAGTATTCTTGAGTCGAAGCTATTATGTGGAAGCTCACTGTTACTTTCGTACTATTTTGTGCAGGCTCCACGCGACGCGATTTCGCATAGATCTGGAGCCAGCGGTTTGTGTGTGAATCGTTTGATCTACGTACGCATTTACTGGTGGGTAGACGATCTATGTTCCTATTTCGTTGATAGCTTCGTAGCGGATAACAGCCGCCCCACACACAGTCTGTCGCCCGCCATTCTCTCCATCGGTCGGTGATTGTTGTGGATATCGTCTGAGATACCCTTGACAAGTGGGCAAGGCTGTGCCTCTCGATGGCACTCGAGATGGTCGGCACCGCGAGCGGTTGAAGACCAGAAGTAGGGTACTTCTTGTGCTGCGTAGAGACGTGAAGATATGTTAAACACTAGCGCTTAGTTGGCGAACACACTGATGGATCCACAGAGAACGCAGAAGTCCAGATGATGGCAGTTCCTAGAGATGACTATCCAGAGAAATCCATGCGAGAGATCCATGCGAGAGATCCATGCTAGAGTGAGAAACACGCGATCCCTCGAGCAGAGATGGCTACATCAGTAATTCCTCCGCATACAGATGCGTTAGGTATGAACCGAAACATACAGTATCTTCGATGAATGATCTACGATAGAGAGCAATGCTACTGAACATTGACTAGTACAGGACACAATCCAATATTCCATAACAGTGATGTTTGGGGTACTTGGATACAAGGTCCGATCTGGAGAGTATATGTGTGTGGGGGGTTTGCTATTGGGGGTCAAAGTGCGGGGCCCCTCGAGAGAGAGAGAGCCCTTGCATGTGTTCAGTCTACGTTGTACGTTATATGTATGCAAGAGATACTGTGTGCATTGCGCTGGAAGAAGCACTGCTGTGTGTGATATTCAAGGTTCTACTCATCTGTATCGGTCCCTGGGTTATCATTCCCCCCAGATCAACTCTTTGTTGCCTCGGTGGACACGGTAGCCCCCGTGGGATGGCGCGGGGGCCTCTAACATGATGAAAGCATTGCACCATGACGATCGAATCATGTCATGGAGTATTTCAACAGTCAAGAAGAACACCATCATCTTGATGCGCGCTCTGTTGCTGATTTTTCCCTCTGCGCTCCACTCTCAGTTGGCTTTGATCGGTAGATTGGATCGGCCAAAACTTGATTGGGTAGAGACAGGCAGCTCGGCAAAGATGGGCAGTTATGGAGAAGGTCCTGTGTATTGTCGCAGTGTCAGTCATTGGGAGATTGGTGTGGCCGAGAGAACTACGCCAAACCACGGTCACCATACGCATTCACCCGCAAGTCTACGAAAAGAATCTCTGTCAGACCCACGACACCACCTCGAGGAACCCAAGTATGTATATACTTTCTTGTTCTAGCGCACCATGCTTGAGAATGTAGTCCTCAAGCCTTGTGGCGCTGCCATGGAGTGTGGGCGTCGAACTTACTTCTGGTTGACACGCTGATGCAACCCTCGCATAGCTGCTGGTACACGTTGCTTGCCTTCGTAGGATGCAAACGAGTTCAGCAGGCTTTGGTAGTCACACAGCACTTCCACAATGTCTAGGCGCGACACACGAGCAGCACCATCCGTATTCTGGGAGAAAGTCGAATTGATTGCTGCTCACTCGTCGTTTGCACCCATTTCCCACGTGCCATATCCCTGTGTCCGCTTTGCTAATGGGAGTACCGCGATATTATCGTGTGTCGTACACACCCGCCAGCTCGAGATAGCGAATCTAACTTGATTCGAGTATTCATCGTCAACGCCAACGCTAACAAAACATAGTCTACACAATGATGAAGCACTTCGATCAACGGAGGAACACACACCGTGGTCTTTTCTTGTTTTTATTATTGTTGTATTCTTTTCGAACACGTCCTGGCCTATCCAACGCACCCCCTCGCACTCTCCACCGTTGTATCGCAGCGAGAAATGGTGTATGTACGTATATGTACGGTGGGAATTCAATTTCATGGCAGATAGGCAACTACATACATACGCGCAAACATGTACCGTACAATGGATTGATGTATTCCGACGAGAATATGCGCGCACGAAAAATATTGATAATACAGTGGGGGTGTCTGTTTAGTGCCGTCTAATAGTGCCAGATGCCCGGTTTAGTGCCAGTGAAATCTCTCGACACAGGCGGAGCCGTCAATAGAGTGCCAAACCGGCCCTACAGAGGGCGGGGCCGACATGGTGACGGTCGGGCGCCGTTGCAACCCAATAGTGTCGGTTTACGCCCACACGCTCACACACAGAGGATTCTTCCCCTTTTACCACAGGCACTGGTAAGGGAAAGGGGCTATACAAGATGGATTGGTAACCTCCCCAGGATTACACGCAGGAGAGAAGGAAGAGGTTCTCTGCACCAAGTCCATTCTCTTAGATGTTACTATCGTAAGCCCAATTGAAAATCGAAGCATCGACAAGTCCATCCACACGCCAGGATCCGCCCTCGAAGATCGAGCTGCAAGTAAGGCAAATCACTATGCGGGAACTTTCAACCCGTCTACATCTACCCTCCTTACTGCTGCTTTTTCAACGCAAGGTGGTCTTGGGAAAGGCACCAATCGACTCATCGTTGCTATTGCCAACCACTTGGCGCACGAAGCTTTTGCAGGGGGAATTTTTACGACGAAAGCGACTTACTTCGCCTTATAGCTTTTAACACTATCAGGATTCGGAGACGGTTTGCCTTCGAGCTAGCTCGTTTTCTGTCGATGCGAACTCGCGATGTGTTCGAGCGTCATGGGCGACTGATCGACCAACTTCCAACAGGGACAATCGGTTGGGATCTCTGCGATAACGATAGTAATGAAGGTAGTTCTTCTGGGAGCGACGGAGACGAAGGAAAGGGAAAGGGAAGAAAGGAGGAGGCAGACGATGATGGAGGAGGAAAACATGGAGGAGTGGAAGAGAGCAAAGGATTTGGGCCAGATGGCCTTTCCCAAAACCAAAAACGTAGGGCTAGGGAAGAACTACCAAGAGATTGTTGTCAAAATGAGGATCAGAATGATGGTAGCGACAACAAGGAGGATAATGACGAAGTGCTCCTAAACGAACTCGAGTACAAGGTACTAGTGCTAGGAGTAGTAGCCTTCGTAGACGCGTGCAGTTTTCTTCTGGTGCCACCGTCTCTGTCTTTGATCCGAACGATAGTTTGGCCTCCCCCATGCTGCACCTCACGGGGTTCCAGGTCATGGCAGATAGAAGTGTTTTGTGTTTTCAACCGCACTAAGACTGACGTCTTTTCATTGACTCCACCCAGAGAAACTACTGTAGGGTACACGTGCTGCTGCAGACCCGAACAGCTTAACGCAGAGGCGTACCATGCCATGTGCGGAAGGTGAACTGTGCCTTCAACAGGAAAGAACGCCGCAAGATCCTCATGGCCTTGCCGTCACAGGTCAATCGGGTGCATGATGTGTGTTTTCCTTGCTTCGACTAGTTCATTTAGTGCTGGTGGGGTAGCACGAAATGGTGTGATCCATGTGAGGCCAATGCCACTGCTTTCTTGCCCGCAACATAGTAGGCAGTTGTTCGGTGCATCTCCCTAGAAAATGGCAGTGCGATGTAGTACAGTACACACATGCATTAAGGGTTCGCGCACATATATATCCAGGCTGTGCAGTACGTGTGCTGAGACAGGGATCAGAAAACATCGGTGCACGATACAACTTTAATTTTTCTACAATATTCTCTTGCGTGAGTTCGACAGGGTCGGACCACACGTATCGTGAGAAAGTCTGCCCACGCCCACCCGCTAAACTTCCCTAATGCCGATCCATTTCCTACTCTGCGGGCCCCTAAAGCGTAAGTGCCACACCAAAAATCAAACACGTCCTCATTAGTGCCGTACCAGCACTAATGAGGGATTGGCCAGCCCTCACTATTTTTGTGCCGTTTTGGCATTATTCACAAAAGTGCCAATGGGTCGGTTTAGTGCCAGTGAACGTCCCGTGCACATACCGGCACTAAACAGACCCCCCCACTGTATGCAGTATCTGTCGAAGACGGACAACAGCAGTGTAGTAGAGCATCGAAATGTTTGCCCGTCATTCATCATGTCGATGGTCAGGAGCCGACAGAGAATATATAGATAGGCGCGCGCGTAAGACAAGAACGAACAGAAAATTGTGCAACGATCGAACCGCGGCGGAATCAGCAGTCCCCGCGGGGCGGATGACAGAGGTGCGCCCCGACCGTGTCGTTGGCAGGTTAATCCCGGCCTCGACGTGGGTAGTCCCGTTGTTGACTGGAATATGATGGCCGGTAGAGGACTACCACTCTGTCCGGAAATATAGCTGGGATTTGAATTGACGGGAATATAGGTGGGGTATGTACAAAGCAGCTGTTCGTGGCCCTACAGGCTGTTTCTGGGGTCCCCACATGGTTTCAATAGCATCAATTCACTTACCGGAGGGGGGGCGAGATTTTCCCCGGGTCAGGCGGGGACGTTTCGTTGCCATCCCCGGTTTTCACAAAATTGTCAGGAAAAGCACATTTTACCCAGTTTTCACGTAGCCTGGCACAGGGTATCGACGACGCTTGCACCCCGGACACTGGCCCATATGAGTGCCGGATTAGCGGCCTCGATTGCCGGAGGGATGTTCGGAGGAGAAGCTGAGACAAACACTATCACGCCGTGGGGTTGCCATTCTTTTGATTGGTGACACTGGTGCAGATGTTCATCATTCATTTTCATTCATTCATTTACTCATTCACTCATTCATCCACTGCTGTGGCACGACACTACGCGTCCTGGTCCCTGTTCGTTGAGCGCAAGACCGGCAAGCAGTGTCCCAACGACAGTCACGGAAACCACCAATGCGACCAAGAAATCCCAGCGCGACAACACTCATAACACAAGAGGAACTCCATGTTCCNTACGCGTCCTGGTCCCTGTTCGTTGAGCGCAAGACCGGCAAGCAGTGTCCCAACGACAGTCACGGAGACCACCAATGCGACCAAGAAATCCCAGCGCGACAACACTCATAACACAAGAGGAACTCCATGTTCCTACAGCAGCAAGACAACCACACACCACATCAATCCGTTGCTCAGAACTTGTGAGGTTCTTTCTTTTCACAGTCCCGCCGACATTACCAGACGCTGAGATCGTCACGAGGGTAGCTTGAAGATCACGATACAGGAGATTCTTTATTTCAGCTCTGAGTGCTGCCACTTCGCGCTGCTGTAGTCGGTGCTTATGGGTGCCCTCCGCAAAGAGTGCGGTTTTGGCGCGTTCGGGTATATCATATGGGTTCTGGAAAAAATAACCGTTAACAAAAAACCGTGAACCAGCACGAGTTATGCCGCCTGAACCTCGAATCCCAGCTATATTTCCGGAATATGATGGTATTGCACAAGCCCAAGTTGGTCGAGATCGGAGTTATTACCAAATGAATGCATGGATGATTGGATGTGTTCCGAGTAATAGGGAGTCATCAATCATCAGCTTGTTGATGTGCGTGCGAAATGCGGCGGAACATTCTTTCGCGTCGGAAGGATGCAGCGTCCTGCTCGGCCGAACCTCTCGTTGGCAGGAAAATTGGACGACACACAACCATTCCATCGTCGATTGGGTTGTTAATCCAGTTGCAGATTGGACGGGGCTTCAATCTGGTGGGGAAGATATGCAACGTCCAGGCACAAATCCAACGAGATCGGAGAAATTTGGGGCCGGAAGCACGTGCTGCATGCGCATGTCTCGTGCTTGAAAAGGCCGGTCACCGACACAGCCAAACGTTCACGCAGGAGACCCCAGTCAAGCCGAAACTTTGTGAGGACTTCTAAAGTAGGGCAGGACGGCCGATGGTCTGATTCCTTGCGCCTCGGGCGTTCGGGTAAAAAACGTGCATGGTTCGGAGCTTCGGAGTGAACGGCATCAGGCAGACAGATAGACGGACAGACAGACACTTGTATTTTACAGTTTTGCGAGGCCTCTAGAGACCGCAACGGTCCCTTACAGGAACTGTAGGCATACTTCTGAGAGACAGTTTACATGAGGTTCGTTTCTCTATACTTCGAAGCAACATTTTCTCAGACTGTCTGTGCGATGACCAAGGTTGACCAACATTGACTAGAAGTCTAGCCTACAGTCGGTTGGTGTTAAGGGTTCTTGACGGAGCAATCAGCACCTCGCTTCCTGTATAGGTCGATTTCCCAAGCGATGGAACTCGTGGAGTGCACACACACAAAAATGAAAAGCCTCCTCACCTATTTCCAGGTTGTTTCCATCAAGCTTTTCCTGGGAGATGTGATGACATGCCCCCAACTGCGACAAGCTCAAAACTAAGGCAGCATCTACGCGTACGTATTATTCTGCGTTCGATACACAACAGTAGAGGGGACGGTGCACACCGATTTCGAACCGCCACTCAGTGCTTATGATGAGGACCCTCTCACTTTCAGCGACGCTTCAGGAACCACTTCTCCGAATCGGGCATCCAATAACGTGGTCGGTGTCTTATCGGCATTGTGAACGGTAAAGACTCCACAGACAAGCGCGTTCCGCCATCGACATTTACTTGAGCTGTCTTCTCGCTATGAGAGACTTTGTGTCCGCGAAGCTACGGCACTACTGAGACGAGAGACGTAAAATCACTAGAAAATAATACTTCACAGGATCTCTTTCAATCAACTAGAGTAGGTACCAGGTATCGACACCGATACAACATCTACTCTAAAGCTAGTCATTGACGACGAGCTTGAATTCCAGCGCACCTCTCCGCCGCAAACAATGTGACACAACGCTCCGCCCCTGGTGGTGTTGAGGTATCACAGCAGCACCGCGACCTAGCTACACTGCTACACATCCCCCCTCCCCCAAACGGCATGTGCACTACACGAGTCTTGCTACATTGTCCGGAAAAAGTAACAGGAGCTACGATACAAGAAGCACGCGGCGCTCCCCTACGCAAAACAAACACAACGTGAAATGGATGCCCGCCTTGGCATTGACGTACGCCCCATAACACCGACAACAAATGGCGACGAACATGCGAGGAAGCCACCTGACAGCAATTCGTTGAAAAATGGCAAGCCATTGAGCCTGTTGTGATCCCTCCGTACTTTAAATATGCACCTAGCATCCCTCTTTGATATCACCGGGTTCAAAACCTGCCGACCGAAACACCGTATCAAAAGGCTTGAGAGTCGAACTCGTCACGGTTATTGCTCGTACACAAGGACCTAGAGAAAAGAAAAAGAGATAACGTACTATCCACAGACAGGCAACGGAATCGAGAAGGCAGAAAACCAGCAAGAATGGTCTCGAACGAAAGTATGGACAAGGCACAACGCACACACCGAGAAATCCGTCCGCAGTGTGTTCGAGGGGGATGGGGACGTATTTGTGCCAAAGCAATTCCGGATACGATAGAGACATTTTTTTCGCATGTATCTCCGTTCTCAAGCGACAACCAAGGTTGAAGTCTCCCCAGGGTTCGGTCCTGGCACACCTGAATCTGTGCCAAATCTCCAGCCGCCATCTTCACCATCGAAATATTGCAGTGGCTACCACCTAGCGAAAGAAGCCATTTCTAAAGCAAACCAATAATAGACAGTTGGCAACATATTTTCCAATTCCGCCACTCCTTGAAAGAACTAAGTCAATACTGACCTTCGTTCACCCCGTCTGCTATCATCACAGATTTTATCAGAAATCTTCGGCATGATAGTTTGCAGGATCGCTTTCATCGAGTTTCAGGCGATGATATTCCGCCTCTCCCATATTATGCGTACACTCGTCGACAATCATAAACTACTGCTGTACCCTATTCTCAAACCTGGACGGTGGTGTTTGGCTCGAACAAAAGACACCGCTCCGACCCTTTCTTGTGCTTGAAACCTAAAAGCGAGTACGTAGTCACGGGGGAAAACAGCGGAAAGACGGCGCGTGGTCAGAGCACAACTATCAAGGGCAAAATGTGGGATCATTCCATCTTTCCAAGTATGCAAGAGTAGCAGTGTAACCTACATGCCGGGGGCGAATAGCTCAGACCGGGAATGGCAGCAAAATGTGTGTTGCAATGCGGAAGCATCGCTACAAAGAAAGCCACGGATGAGTTGCACTGCTGTGGCGAGCACAGGACAAAAGGTGTGTGCGAGAATTCCAACTGACGGATCCGCTAGACTTCTTGAGCGGCATGATCAGCTTATAGCACGGTGACAATAGTTTCGTTGAAGCCTGTTGGACAACCGCCAAGAGAAAATCACAGCATGTACTCTAGCAGGAACCAACCGGAGGGCACTGCAGTACAATAATTGGCTCCCATTCCCGAACGGCGAAGAATGATATCGCGGACAACCGACAAATGGCCAGCCGCAACAGCAGCACTGTAATAGCTATCCTTGTTCGGCCGGCACCGCTCGAACCCTGCGTTCGATTCGCACCTCCGTAAAACTGCTATGTCGAATATTGATGATCGTTGTGGGTACCCATCCGCTACACCGGCAAGGGATGCATCATATCTGAAGCAAAAAGGCATCGGGCTATTTCGATCAACCCCCTGTACAATATATCGTCAATACGGAATCGGTGGCGCGAAGCAATCGAGAAAATAACAACTTCCGTCCTTATTTACTTCGACAGCAACGAAATTATCAACAACGGTACGGCGAAACTCATACCTCCCTCTCGTACCTCACAGGAAGCCCACCACCAAGCGGAACAAGCCACCTGCCTCCAGTCCGACCAGCCTGCCCACCAAATCCCTCAAGTCCACCATCATCTGGTCCGCCGTCTCTTCATCACGTCGACCCGCATCCTCACCGCTGGCCCTCGCCACCTTGGCGGAGTTACCGCTGTTGCCGCTGCTGCTGCTGCGGTTTGCGATGTTTACCCTGGTCTGGCAGTAACGGCTCAGCACCAACCAGCCGCGGCGACGCCATGACCTGTCGGCTAGAGCGCGTGTCTACATTCGGCGAATGCGCTGGTTGTCGGCCTCGAGTTCTTCATTGTCGAGGTCATGCTGTTACCGCGTTCCTATCACGTCGGCGGGCGTGTCTCCAACGTCGTTCGTGAGCTTCTCATCTGCTCCCCAATGCAGAAGAAGCTCCACGCCAGCAACACTCAAATGCCAGCAAGCTTCGTGTAGTGGCGTCTCGTCTTCAGTGCACGCATTGATATTGGCCCCTCCCTCCAACAGGGCGCGAATCGTGCCATCCGATGCTATCCGATGACAAGCGGCAAGATGGAGCGGCGTGAAGCAGATGTTGTTGGTGGCCTCCACGTTGACATCAGCCCCAGCTCCCAACAGTGCACGCACGGCATCGCCGTTGTCACGGACAGCTACAACAAAAACGGCAGCACAGTGGAGAGCTGCCTATCCCTGACCATTGGTGGTGTTGACTTCAGTATTATGTACTGTCTTTGTCGAGCAAGGCCTTTACGACGTTCCCGTGACCTCCGTTTGCAGCAACCTCGAGTGGAGAACGGGTGTTGTTGGAAAGCATGCGGTGGTTGGCACCAGCACTCAGAAGCTCTTCGACAGCCTCCAGGCGGTTTATTTTCTCTGCCGTCAACAGTGCCGTTTCACCTTTATCATCGACCACGTCCTTGTCTGCACCACCCAGCAGAAGCTCAGAAATACAAAGAGCTTGGCCCTTGAAAGCAGCCAGGTGGAGAGGAGTGTCCCGATAAGCCGTCTTCGCGACTACATCGGACCCTTTCAGAAGAAGCATTCCTGCAACTCGGTGATGCCTAGCTACGGCAGCGAGGTGGAGCGGACTATGGCCCACCCGATCACGCAGACTTGGGTCTGCTCCAGCGACCATGAACGCCCTGCATGAGTCGTCAGCACCCCGAGCTGCTGCAACGTGGAGAGCGGACTCGCGTTCACCCCCGAAGACGACGTTTTTTTTACATCACCCGTCGCCCCCGCGCTGAGCAGAGTGCGTACCATCTTATCGCCGTATGCAGCCGCACCCAGCAGTGTTCGGCCACGACATTCCCGCCAGCCTGCTTTCCCGTTGGCACCAGCGTCCATTAGCCGTGTGAAGAGATCCAAGTTCCCCTTGGCTGCGGCATGCTCCAGAGGTGCTCGAAGCCACTCCTTTCACTCCGCGGTCGCCTCCCTGTGGATGAGTTTGAAAATCTCGATCTCGAAGCCGTCAACGCGTGAGCGGTCCTCTTCTTCACGTTTCGAAGCTGACATGGTCGTGGAATGCGCCAACTGGACCGTTGTTGGTGATAGCGTACTATTGTAGGGTGGGGCTGTCTCGCTGACAGGCTCTGCTGTCTTGGTTGGCAGGAGTTAGCAGGAGTGAAACGGAGATCGATGCCCACGCGGCGAGACAAACATGGGGTAGATGATAGGTGCGGCGGAACTCCGCAGAAAGACTGTTAGACTGTCACAGTGCTGTCTGCGAAAGTGTGTAAACGCGTAGATGAACATATCTTGGACATGCTGATGAATTGAAAGCGCTCACATTACAGCAGTAGAACTAGACGACACCGTCACTGTTGAGCTGCTGAGAGACATTTTCCCGAGGCTCGTTGTCTACTCTTTGTGGTCTATAATAGGTAGACGATGCGGTACAACCCAACACTGACGCTGAACTCCATACAGCAGTAATGGTACTCCGGATCACATGGTAGTCGGTAAGTCACGGTTGCAGCGAAAGGTTGTTGACCGAACACTGATGATCACCTGATTGTTTTGTTGGTTAATAGCCTTAATTTCCTAAGTGGGAGTGCGCTGTGCAGGCGGACAACAAAACAAAACAGCAGCCTCCGCCCGCACTTCCTTGTTTTCCATGTCTCCGTACCGCATTTTTTGGGAGCGATGTGGGCAGAAAACTTGCGCTCAACCGCGGAAGCAACGATACGGGAAGTACCACGGTACATCTACGCGCAAATGTTGTTCTGCACTGCTGTTTACTCCACAGCAGCAGTAGCGAAACAGGCAAGGGGGTGTGCATACCAATTCCGAACTATCGCCACTGCTGCTGAAGATCCTCTCACTGAAAGATAAAAACGTCTGAACAACCATGTGGGATCTAACAGGTTTTTTGAGAGACAGTCTACTTTAGGTATAAACCACAGCCAGCCGACGTTCAGCTTCACTCTTGAAATCTTATTTTTTCACCACCGGCCACACCCGTGTGTGACGCGTTTTCTAAGGGGCTGCGCTTGGTAAGCAGAGTACAGGCAGAGCGGGGCGAACACCTTTTTTTCGCCAAACCCTACGGCACAAATAAACGTACTTGTTGTGTCGTCTCCCGTCACAGCCACATCCATCCTTCGTAATGACGTCGTTCCGCCCTTGCGAGTTAGACTAATCGAATCGACCAAGCCGCGACAAGCTCCAGGCAAAGAGCATGGGAAAGGGTGGCAGGTATCGGCTCTACAGAACATCTACTTCATGCTATTCACTGATGACGCGCTTGAATTCCAGCGCACCCCCCGCCGCAAACAACGCGATCAAACACTCCGCCCTCGGCGTTGAGGCATCACAGCCGCACCGCGATCTGCTTGGACTGCTACACATTCCCCCTCCCCCAAACGGCTTGTGTAGTTCCGTAAACTACGGAGTTTCCCCCCCGGGGAGGGGATCGTTTTCTTTTCTGAAACCAACCCCCCCGGGGGGAAATCGACGTGCTTCGGGGGGTTAGTTTTTTTTGTTGCAACGCTACCCCGGGAGGGAGGCCCTCCCCGGGAGGGTTGTGCAAAATACTGATGGCCCACACACCACACGCAGGGAGTGGCGACACTGAGATGGATAAGGCGTTCAACAAGCAGAAGAAGGAGGAACGGAAGAGCAACGAAGGCGAAGAGAAAACAGACAGCAAGGAGGACAGCAGCTGGGGGTGTTTGTCTCGTCCCGCGAGAAATTCCAAGAAGAGGAAGGGTCCGCCTTCCAGAGAGTACCCACCAGCTCCGTTCACAATGCTCCGCTATGCAACAAATTTGACTCAGAAAACAAGGGAGATACACCCCCCTCCCCCCCCGGTGTTTGCTATCGGGGTTGGGTTTTCGTCGCTTGACAGCGATGTTGTATAACAAGCCGATCGCCTCGTGAGCTCGGCAACCAGGTTACCGCTTGTTTTTTGCCTTTGCTTTTTTTTGCGGTAACCACGAATGGTGATCGAGTAGATCATGTTGTGCGGGGTCGAGAACCCTCACTCCGCGCAAGGGGGATCATCGCACCACGTTGTGATAAACATGATCAGCACTCTCGAGGCAGTTACAAAGTGCATACGACTGTCTGTGGACGTGAAAGCACCAGAAAGAACAAGTAAGGCATACGCAGCTGTCATCCGTACGCCAGGAAGTAGCACAAGGTGACGAACACCCTTAGCAGGATGCAGCGCACCCTTCATGCGACTCCCCGAATACCTCACGGCGCTTTGCGCTTGGTGATGTGAGAGCCTAGCCCGGTGAAAACCCGGCGTGCTCCGTCCCGGCTTTGTAAGTGCTCCGTCCCGGCTTTGTAAGTGCTCCGTCCCGGCTTTGTAACTGGTAGCCCCCCGGGAGGGGGGGGGGG